ACCGTCTCAGTGTACGCTTGTCCCCGTCCCTCTCTGGTCCTGTCTGCCCGCGTCCCTATTTCTCTTCAAACGCCCTGCCTCCTCTTACTCCCGCTCACCCCCCTGTCCAGGCAGGCGATCGGTCTCTCTCAGGTACGGTCGCACCATCTCTCCCTCTTCCTGTCGCCCTGTCTCTGCGGTTTCCGCTCTCTCCCCCGGCCTTGGAGAATCACCCAGACCCTGCTGGTCCCTGCTCCCCGCTGTGCCCTATCTGCCCTGCCAGCCCCGCGTGCACCCCTTCCTTGGGGTAAGGGGAATAACCACTGGGCCAAGAATAGGGTTTATTTGGGAGGGTGCTAAGTGGCTGGGAATAGGGGGGAGGTTCCCCCGCAAAGTGGTCCTCCCTGGGTTCTCATCAGAGCCTTTCCCCACCAATCTCCACCTCCTAGGGTGCCCAAACATGTACCCTCTGACCCCCATCCCTGCATTTCTCCCAGACTGGAAACCAGCCTTGTTCATTTCCTCACCCTACCCCCAACAGCCACTGGGCTGTGTCCTGAACTTCACCTCTAACCAGCCCAGGAGTAGGTTAAGGGAGGAAGCAATTAATGATCATAACAATAATAATAATAGTCATTAGCAGGGAGACAGTATAGCCTAGGGGCTAAGTTTGAACACACACACACACACACACACACACACACACACACACACAGCTGCAGCTTCCCAGCTATGTGACTTTGGAAGCCGTGGCAGGAGTTCTCCAGGCCTCAGTTTCCCCATCTGTAAAATGGGCTGTAAGGCTGACCTATCGGCACCTCTGCGGAGCACCTTTGGATTCGGAACCTCTCAGGCACACGCAGATTGCTGAGCTGCCAGTGGGAGGCTGCAGCCCCCCACCCCCAGGCCCCATCAGTTCCCTTCCTGTCTCAATTCCTTTGTGCCGTGATCCTAGAATGGGTCTCTTCACTTGACCCTTGAACCGTGGAGGCCCCCAGAGGTCAGAGAGAGGGGTTCTCTGGCTCCAGGTTCCACAGTACCGTCCTTTAGGTGGGTCTGGATGGGAAGGCCAGGGGGGCTTCAGGTCATTGGGGCTGCTCAAAGAATCGCAGGAAACGGAGGCTCAGAGGGGGCCTGTGACCTCCCGGTGGTCAGGCAGCAGGCACAGCAGTGTCTGTCTGATTCATCAGAGGAGAACCGGGCTGACTTTTCAGGAGACCACCAGGCCTTTCTGCAGCTGACTTGCATTTAAGGCTTTCAGGCTGGGAGGCCTAAAACAAGCAGCTCGACTTTCCCTGGTGCCAGCCTTTGACGGAGCGGGCCTGGGCAGATGATGTTCTGTGGAAGAGGGGGTTGGCTTGGACCTGCCTTATTACAGAGGGGAGAAGGTCACACAGTTTAGAAGTGTCAGCATTGGACCCCTCCCACCCCACCCCCCACCTGCAACCCAGGGTTGTCTGCTCTGGAGCCCACCTCTTGGGCTTGGGCTGTGACATCTTACCCTCTACCCCCCACCCCAACCAACCCCCTCCAACATCCTCTCTTTCTGCTTCTCCTGTCTAGAAATCTATGACCCTCTCAGGCACGGCTCACATAGCACGTACATGCTCTTCAACACGTCAGCGCTTCGAGAAGCAGTGTCAGACCCCCTGCTGCTCTCCCGGGCAGAGCTGCGCCTGCAGAGGCTCAAGTTGAAAGTGGAGCAGCACGTGGAGCTGTACCAGGTGGGAGCCCCGGGCGGGACAGGTGGGCTGAGTCAGGGTGGGGCCGTGAGGCCCCGGCGGGACCCTCGGAAGGCTGGTGGCCACAACACAGCTCCACGGGCGCTGCGATGTTCTAATTGTGGAGTTGCAGAATCACGGGGCTCTTGGAAACTTCCAGACTCACCGTATCCTAGGATGGTAGTTCTCTCAGACAGCTGGAATCTTAGAAGCTGGCCTCTTGAGAAGGAAAAGTGTCTTTTTAAAATTGGTTCTTCCAGAACTGCTCTGTTCAAGATGGTAGCCACTAGCCACGTAGGAGTGTTTGCTTGAAGTAAGATGAGATCAAGTTAAACCTCCCCTTTTTCGGTCTCCTGAGCTGTGTTTTTGTGCTCTGTCATCGTCCCATGTTGGGTGGCCAGTGGCCTGCATCCTGGAGGTCCTTGATCAAGAGCATCCCACAGTCACAGAAAGTTCTGTTGGACAGCGGTGCTGTGGGTTTAAGCGTTGCCACCAGGATTGCTGGAAGGGCTGACGTCTCTGAAGTGAAGGATTCTCCAGAAGGTTCTATGGTCCGGGACGCACGCCATGTTGGACAGTAGACCTGCAGCAATGGGAGGGGTTGCACTCATACTCCCAGAGAACCAGGTCCAACCTGAACTTGAGAGTTCAGCCCCGGGAGAGTTGAATCCCCGGCCTTGGAGGCAGGAAGCATCCAGCTTTCTGGCTTGTCAGATGCTGTGTCTGTAGACCCTTCATCCCCGAGAATGCCTTAGGCTTCGTGTTTGTGTGATTCTTGGGATCAGACTGAACAGGGGCGTCTTAGAATGACCTCTAACTTAAGGCCCGAGAGTTAATTGGGGGGTCAGATTTGTCCTGCTGACTCCAGACTGGGGGCAGCAATGTCTTAGCTTCTTAGGCCGTCCAAGCCGGAAGGTAGCAGCATCTTCCCAAGGAGGGAACTCAGGCTTTTCCTGCCTCTGCTCAGCATCTCTGTGGAGACATGTCTCCTCAGAGATGCTGTGCAGACATCTCTACCCAGAGATGCTGTGGGGACATCTCTCTGTCCTCAGAGATGCTGTGGGGACATGTCTCTACTCAGAGATGCTGTGGGGACATTTCTCTGTCCTCAGAGATGCTGTGGGGAGATGTCTTTACTCAGAGATGCTATGGAGATATCTCTCTCCTCAGAGATGCTGGGGAGACATCTCTCTCTTCAGAGATGCTGGGGAGACATCTCTCTCCCTCTCCTGAGAGGCGCTGTGGGGGCCAGTGGCTCTGAGGGTCTAGTGATGTGGCTGCCCTGTCTGGGAGGCCACAGCGGGGAGCAGATGGTGTGGGTGGGGGACAGTCAGCCTGTGTCGGGGGGCACTGGAGCATCGACCCACAGGCACTCCCGTGTCGTCTCCCAGAAATACAGCAACAATACCTGGCGCTACCTCAGCAACCGGCTGCTGGCCCCGAGCGAATCCCCGGAGTGGCTGTCCTTCGACGTCACCCCCGTCGTGCGGCAGTGGCTGAGCCACGGAGGTGAGGGCCACGCCAGGGGTCCCTGCATGGTTCCCCTTGGGCCCCAACCACCCGGCCTGCCCCTGTCCGAGAGCGCGTGGGTGTGAAAGCGGGGTGACATCAGCCATTTCCTACGGCGCCCCCACGGTGCAGTGAGCTTCTTCCAAGTGGTTCAAACTGGCCCGGGGAGAGAAAGCTGAGGACCGCACAGACAACAGCCACAGGCACTTTGTGGCCTCTCCGCACTGTCCTTAATGTCAGCAGGCATTGGGGTGGGTGGGGGGCGGGCATTTCTCCCCAAGCACTTGCCCTGGGTCCGGTCCTGCCAACCGTCCCTTCCAGACGCCCAGGAAGTCTCGTCACAGAGATGATCATGGTGGGGACCCGGAGGTCAGGGGTCAGGGCCAGCAGCGGGGGTGCAGGCAGAGCGGTGGGGCCTGGTGGGGAAAATCCAGAGTGGTGTCGGAGCCGCGAGGAGACCCCAGAACCCAGAGAGGGTGGTCTCTAAGGGCTTCCTGAACAGAGGCTGTGTGGCAGCGGATGAGGCTGTCCCGACCCTTAGCCTCCTGGGCTCCCAAACTGCTTTGGCCCACTGCCCCCTTGTCAGGGAAGCAAAACAAAGACTCCGTGTCCCCTTGGCCATCACAAAGGTCTGTATGCTAGCCCATGCCCCAGGCTGACGTGCACATAGCTGCTTTGGGACACACGGGAGTAGGGGCTGGGTCTGTGCCGGGCAGCTGGCCAGAGGCCGGGAAGAGAGGGTCGCAGCTACACCCCACGTGCCCTGCACAGAGTGGGAGCCGAGGGAACATTGTTCACGCCTTCTTTCCGGAAGCACCGATTCCCCACCAGCCTCTGGGAAAGCCTCCGGATTTACTTCCCACCCTCCCCTCTTCACGTCATGTTTCGGTGAAGATTAAAGGAGGGTCTGGCGTCTGACTCAGAGTCAGAGGGACCCCGTAGGGCAAGGTCCAGCGGCTCCTGCGGGTTTCCGAAGCTGTAGATCTTCACGGGAGCGGAAAGTCTCGCTTCTCTCCCTCGGAGCAGCTGGTGGGCTTGAACTGCCAACCGTGTGGTGAGCAGCCGAACGTGTAACCGCCAAGCCACCGGCGCCCCTTGGGTCTAGCACAGTAGGCAGTAAAATGTCCACGTTTCTGACCGTGGGCCAGATCCCATGGGCGCAGCCGGGAGGCCAGGCGTCCGTCTGCTGGCGTCTGGCTTTTTTCTGCTCATAAAACGGGTCAACGGTGGGAGAAAATGAAAGTGAAGGGTGAGGCCCCAGGGCCTCCTTGAGGGAAGGCAGATGCCTCCTCGGGAGGGCCCGGCGGTGAAGAAGCAGGAAGAGGCCCTGTGGGTGCCTCCTCCTTCCTCTTCCTCTGACTGGCCCCTGCCCCCGCCCCCCCAGGGGAAATCGAGGGCTTTCGCCTCAGCACCCACTGCTCCTGTGACGACAAAGAGAGGAAGCTACAGCTGGAAATCAAGGGTGAGGCTGCGTCCAGGGTCAGCCCCTCTCCCCGCCTCGGGTCTGCTGGAGAGAGTGCTCACGTGTCCGTGTGTGTGTGTGTGTGTGTGTGTGAGCCCCCCACATCCATCCATCTGTCCTGATGAGAGTGTGGTTCCCACCAACCCACCCTTGTGAGTGCATGTCACCCCACTGCATGGATCCATCCCTCTAAGAGGGTGTCCCCCATAGCTCATTCCCTCTGAGAGCATGTCCCCCCATGAATCCATCTCTCTGAGAGGGTGTCCCCCATGAATCCATCTCTCTGAGAGAGTGTCCCCCATAGCTCATTCCCTCCGAGAGGGTGTCCCCCCATGAATCCATCCCTCTGAGAGGGTGTCCCCCCATGAATCCATCCCTCTGAGAGGGTGTCCCCCATTAATCCATCTCTCTGAGAGGGTGTCCCCCCCATGAATCCATCTCTCTTGAGAGGGTGTCCCCCATGAATCCATCTCTCTGAGAGGGTGTCCCCCATAGCTCATTCCCTCTGAGAGTTTCCCCCCATGAATCCATCCCTCTGAGAGGGTGTCCCCCATGAATGCATCTTTCTAAGAGAGTGTCCCCCATAGCTCATTCCCTCTGAGAGGGTGTCCCCCATAGCTCATTCCCTCTGAGAGAGTTTCCCCCCATGAATCCATCTCTCTGAGAGGGTGTCCCCCCATGAATCCATCTCTCTGAGAGGGTGTCCCCCCATGAGTCCATCCCTTTGAGAGGGTGTCCCCCATAGCTCATTCCCTCTGAGAGGGTGTCCCCCCATGAATCCATCCCTCTGAGAGGGTGTTCCCCCCATGAATTCATCCCTCTGAGAGGGTGTCCCCCCAGGAATCCACCCCTCTGAGAGGGTGTCCCACCCCCATCCCCACGTCCATCCCACTGAGTGTGTGTCTCCCTCCCTCCCCCGAAGCAGGGCTCAGTAACAACCACCGCCGGGGTGACCTGGCTGCCATTCACGGCATGCACCGGCCCTTCCTACTCCTCATGGCCACCCCACTGGAGAGGGCCCAGCACCTGCACAGCTCTCGGCACCGCCGGGCCCTGGACACCAACTACTGCTTCAGGTGAGCCGTGCAGCCTCCCGAGACTGCCTGGGGCCTGGCCGGTGGCCCACCCATCACTCTGGCTTGGGCACCAGACACAGAGCACGGGCCCACCTTAGTCTCTGACACAGAAATGCCACACGTGGGTGGTTTTCCCACACAGCGTGTGTTTCCTCACAATGTCGGAGGTTAGGGTGCCATCTGCTTTCTCTCTCAGTGGGCTCTCCAAGAAGGTCTTATCTCTTCCGTTCTGGTGCCGGGTGGCTGGGCATCTGTCTTCCCTCATCTGTCTTCTGCTTGCTTGTTTAATCTCTTTTATATCTCCAAAGAGATGGCCTCAAGATACACCCTACATGACCTCTTTAACATAACCCGTCCCCCAAAGGGAGGGTAACTACCACTGTCTCAAGTTCAAAATTCAAAACGCACCACCAGCACAGAGACTGGGATTGACCACGCTTGTTTCTGGGGACACCACTCACTCTCCAGCATGCTGGAATGTTGGGACAAATGGGAAGTCTTCCTGTGTTGGAATCAGGTTGGCTTTCTTGACAGGGTGTTGGAATCAGAGGCTGTTTGATAACAGGAAACTTGGAATACCCCGTCAAAGGAATTGGATGATGGTACTGTTGACAGGTTGGGGTTCTAGGATGTTGGGGTTCTTGAACCATTGGCGTCCTTTGTCGTTACAGAAAACTGAGAATGCCGGACTCTAGGGAAGCTGGGATATCCGGGTCCTAGAATTTGGGGGTTCCAAAATTAGAAGGTTGCCCATGGCAGACTTTTATGTTGTTGCCCTAGCTGGGTTCGCCAAACATTGGTAGGTTGGAATCCTTGGATATCAGACTCAGAATGGTGGGATTCTGTGTCCAAATATTGGGATCCCCACATGTTGGGGTTGGAGAAAGCCAAGGTGTCGGTGGTCTGGACATATTAGGGCTTGCTGTTGGAACGTTCGACTCTCGGAATGTTGGGATCTTAGAGAGTGGCAAGCTGGACTCTCTGGGTGCCGGGGCTCAGTAATGTGCGATAGTGGCACGCAGTCTCGAAATGCTTGAATTTGAGATGCCAAGGTTGAGAATTGTCTTGTGGGAATTCTAGAAAACGGAAAGACATCGCTGGTGTGTGGGAAGATTTCCATCAAAGGTTGAAATGGGGGATCCTCCCAAACCCAAAAGACTGAACTCATTGCCACAGTGATTCATAGCTGACTCACAGTGACCTTGTAGGGCTGCGTAGAACTGCTTCTGCAAGTCTCTGAGACCGTAACTCTTGACAGGAGCAGAGAGCCTCCTCTTCCTCCCCCAGAGCGGCTGGGGGTTTCGAACTGCTGACCCTGCTGTTCACAGCCCACATGTCACCACCAGGGCTCTGTGTGAGATTCCTAGGACGTTGAGATTCAAGGTTGGAAGGCTGCACCTTCAGAGTCAGCGATAGTCTGACTTCCTCACTCCCCAGCATAATAACGTTTGGGAGTGCCTCTGGATTCTGGGGAGGCCCCTGCGTGGTGCAGATGGGCCAATGGTTACCCTTAACCACTCATGGAAAGGCTGGTGCTTCGGACTCACCCAGGCTCTGCGGAAGTAAGGCCTGGCGATCCGGTTTCCTAAAGCTCAGAACCACAGAGCAGTCCTCCTCTGTAAAACCAAGGGGGCTCCCCAAGAGCCCTCCTTAACGATCAGCCGAGAATGTCTTCGTTTGCTTGACACAGGCTTGGTGAAGGGCCATTCTAAAAGTCAGGCTCCTTCCCTCTACCCCCACCCCAGACCCCAGCAGCCCCTGTGAGTGAAGAATGGCTATATGGCCTTGGGCACCCACGTTAGGGACACAGACACCCCGCCTGGGGCCCCGTCGCAGGGCCATGACATCACCGGGGAAGTCTTGCCAGCATATCCAACTGAACTCGGATCAAGACGCTGCGATCTAACTACCAATTATCCAGTACTATGGGGACAGAGGGACATGTTCCCAGAACCACAAGCACGCCGTCAGCAACACGCGGGTTCCCGGGAGCAGCTTGTCCCAGTTTCTTAACACATTCAAGCAGAGGGGGGAAGGAAGAGGAGACAGCTCTGTCAACGCTGCTCAGGACTCGCGAGGAGTGTGTCCGTGGTGCTTGGTTGGTGCTTCGATTGATACAGACTAGGAAATGTGAACGTCGGCTGGGTGTTGGATGATCCTCAAGGAATGATTGTGATTTAAAAAAAAATTTTTTTTTTAAATGTTTTTACTTGGTGACGTGGTGATGCCTGAAGGAGCTCTTGAGGAGCCCTGGTGGCCTAGTGGTGATGGGCTGCGAACCTCAAGGTCGGCAGTTCGAAACCATCAGCCACTCTGGGGGAGAAAGAGGAGGCTTTCTGCTCCTGTGAAGAGTTACTGCCTCCAAGGCTTGCAGGGGCAGCTCTGCCCTGTCCTGTGGGGTTGCTGGGAGGCAGATGGACTCGTGGCCAGGAGTTTAGGCTTTGATCTTGGTGCTCCATGTGGGGATGTTCCCTGCAAGCTTGGCTCTTCAGAGTCACCAGTAGCTCCGTGCAAGATGAGGCTGTCCACTCCCCCTAACGAGTGACAGCTGCAGTGATGGTGGGTCAGAATGGACTGGATGGCCGTGGACTTTGGTGCTTATGTTTTAAGGGGACACTTCCTCGTGTTGGGCTGTTAAACACAAGGTCGGCTGGTTAACCCCCCCCCCCCCACTATCATGATCCCAATTCTACCTTACAAATCC